CAAAAGGTATATATGTATATATAGCCTAAGTGGATTATAATAGCCCACAGGGATAATTTTAAGGCTGTATTGTAGTCTACGGGGCAATTAACCACAGAACACATTCCAGAAGTTGGTAACGTGTTTTATACATTTGTAACAATAGCAAAATGTAGTGCAGAGTTACTGAAATTGTAAATTATGCTAGCTTTAGTGTACCTATAATCTTAATTTTATTAATGACAGGAGGCGAGTGTCACGAACGCACCCTACTCCAAGAGTGTGCGTGACGTAGTTGTGGTGGTGAAAGGGTTAAAGTACACTATTTGTCTGCACTAGACCGGAAATAATGACAAAATCCCCCTTTAACACCACCCACACTTAAACATAATAATATAACTATTACTACTTTAACGCTGCCACCACCAAGACAATTTATAAATGGGGTGCCTTGGTCCCCCAGGTAAATCAATAATAAAACCCACCAAATATTACTTAGTACAATATTTAAGGAATTATAAAAATACTAACTAGTCTCTTCAGGTAACGTGATTCTTAACCAGACAAAGGCAAAACTTAAATGAATGTTTATTATGAGCAAAAGATAGTCACAGTGCATATAAAAATATATGATAAACAAATTATTTACACCAACAACAGATAAAAACAAAAAGGATAAAATACAGAAGTCCTAATTACTCACTTAGGTTTTTCAAAGTACAACTTCTGTCCAGGGGGTCTCTGGCAAGGAAAGGTGGTGACTCACTCAAAATTAGATCTTGGCCCCAAGCAAGTACACCAACACCCTTCAGGATCATTAGATATATACCCTGTGGTTTATCAAGTCTTGCCCAGGGGTGGAGTTAAGGCGTACCTACAGAAATAATAACTGACCACCTCCTTTGTTCCAGACCACTGTCAATCCAAATGGAAACATTTGACTCTATCTTCTTTTTTGTACCTGCCACAGAAATAATAATTGCATCTACAAATTTGTTATTATTTTCCCATTCCATAGACATGTTGCACGTCCCACCCACGATCCAATAGGACGGACATCACAATTCCTTTCCCTAGGGTCAAGTTAGGCCACTCATGTTTGGACTTGGTTAGAAGATGGCGCTTGTCACATTCCAAATATAACAAAAATGAGGCTTAATTATTATTCTGTGGGGGTAAATATGAATGTTTTTGTCCTTCCTTTGGATATGATACTAGAACAAAGCTAATGGCATTTACATATCAAAGAGATTTACTCATCACTTCCAAGTTACAGGCCAAATGGATGAAGAGACATTCAGACTTTTTCCAAGTGTAGAACCTCACACCTTGCAGACTTCACATCCATACAGTAAAATCCTTTTCACATTCCTATGCCAGTCACACTACCCCTTCTGTCATCTGCCCTCTGTGGGGGTCCCAGCTTCAAAAGATGTAACCCCTGTTGACCTCAGCAATAGCATCTCTGTAATTTGTGCCATTTACTACAAGAAATCACATTAAAAGATGATATTCCATAGTGTCATAATAAATTATACACCCTTGCCGTGACAGCGAGTATTTACTTAAGTCTCTCTTTACTAGAACTCCACAGCAGTACAGAAAAAACAACCATTCAGAAAAAAGTTAGGTATTACATAATGGGGAAGAAACAAAGTTCTAGATATAATGAATACAACAATGTCCACCAATCCGAGAAGAACTGCCAACCCAGATAGCGTTGATGGACTGTAAACTGAAACAAGAGAAAAACAGAATCGAACAGGTTGATTATCAAATGAAATGTACTTTGAACAACATGTAGGTACCCAATGTAGCAACCAAAATTACCGTAACCTGCATACAGGGAGTGCAGAATTATTAGGCAAATGAGTATTTTGACCACATCATCCTCTTTATGCATGTTGTCTTACTACAAGCTGTATAGGCTCGAAAGCCTACTACCAATTAAGCATATTAGGTGATGTGCATCTCTGTAATGAGAAGGGGTGTGGTCTAATGACATCAACACCCTATATCAGGTGTGCATAATTATTAGGCAACTTCCTTTCCTTTGGCAAAATGGGTCAAAAGAAGGACTTGACAGGCTCAGAAAAGTAAAAAATAGTGAGATATCTTGCAGAGGGATGCAGCACTCTTAAAATTGCAAAGCTTCTGAAGCGTGATCATCGAACAATCAAGCGTTTCATTCAAAATAGTCAACAGGGTCGCAAGAAGCGTGTGGAAAAACCAAGGCGCAAAATAACTGCCCATGAACTGAGAAAAGTCAAGCGTGCAGCTGCCACGATGCCACTTGCCACCAGTTTGGCCATATTTCAGAGCTGCAACATCACTGGAGTGCCCAAAAGCACAAGGTGTGCAATACTCAGAGACATGGCCAAGGTAAGAAAGGCTGAAAGACGACCACCACTGAACAAGACACACAAGCTGAAACGTCAAGACTGGGCCAAGAAATATCTCAAGACTGATTTTTCTAAGGTTTTATGGACTGATGAAATGAGAGTGAGTCTTGATGGGCCAGATGGATGGGCCCGTGGCTGGATTGGTAAAGGGCAGAGAGCTCCAGTCCGACTCAGACGCCAGCAAGGTGGAGGTGGAGTACTGGTTTGGGCTGGTATCATCAAAGATGAGCTTGTGGGGCCTTTTCGGGTTGAGGATGGAGTCAAGCTCAACTCCCAGTCCTACTGCCAGTTCCTGGAAGACACCTTCTTCAAGCAGTGGTACAGGAAGAAGTCTGCATCCTTCAAGAAAAACATGATTTTCATGCAGGACAATGCTCCATCACACGCGTCCAAGTACTCCACAGTGTGGCTGGCAAGAAAGGGTATAAAAGAAGAAAATCTAATGACATGGCCTCCTTGTTCACCTGATCTGAACCCCATTGAGAACCTGTGGTCCATCATCAAATGTGAGATTTACAAGGAGGGAAAACAGTACACCTCTCTGAACAGTGTCTGGGAGGCTGTGGTTGCTGCTGCACGCAATGTTGATGGTGAACAGATCAAAACACTGACAGAATCCATGGATGGCAGGCTTTTGAGTGTCCTTGCAAAGAAAGGTGGCTATATTGGTCACTGATTTGTTTTTGTTTTGTTTTTGAATGTCAGAAATGTATATTTGTGAATGTTGAGATGTTATATTGGTTTCACTGGTAATAATAAATAATTGAAATGGGTATATATTTGTTTTTTGTTAAGTTGCCTAATAATTATGCACAGTAATAGTCACCTGCACACACAGATATCCCCCTAACATAGCTATAACTAAAAACAAACTAAAAACTACTTCCAAAAATATTCAGCTTTGATATTAATGAGTTTTTTGGGTTCATTGAGAACATGGTTGTTGTTCAATAATAAAATTAATCCTCAAAAATACAACTTGCCTAATAATTCTGCACTCCCTGTAGATCCCAACCTTACTTATGAAAAACAGACATACGAACAAGCGACAGGTAGCAGAGACAACAAGCAGAGTTGCATACGTACCCGCTGAACCCAAGCTATAAAAATTAAACAAGGGAGGGATGAGAACGGTCATTAATAAAATTAAGATTATAGGTACACTAAAGCTAGCATAATCTACAATTTTATAACATGACAGGAGGCTTCGCTGTTTTAAAGCTCAGCCAACAATCCAACGCTGTTTGTTTCACTGGTACCTATTCTGTGAGATATAAGAGCAATCCTAAATGGAGTTTCCAACTGTGAGAAGTGTCAGTAGACGGATCAATGAAGATGCCAACTGTCGAGGCACCCCAAAATATAATAAAAAACACCATCCGCATGGGGTTGCGACATGTTTCCTAGCAGCTGGTCCATGAGCTGCCAAGCTGGCCTATCAGCCATTTTTCTTAAGGCGTAAATACCTAAGGTCATTTGCGGACTTAGGGCCGCGAGAAGAAAACTGCCACCAGGTCTCGACTCTTGATGTGGAAGATGGCACCACCGGTTGTGCCAGGGTCATCCGGTTATGTGGCCTTGCAGGCAAATCTCCACCCTCAAGTAATGCGTCTAAGTCTACCACCAATTCCGTAACAGAAACGAGTTGTGTCTTTCCGTTCCTTCACTTAGGATACGTCAAGACTAGACGTATCCTAAGTGATTCCAGTAATCCAAATGGACTGTGTAACCCATGATTGCAGAAGAGAAGGAACTCCCAAAGGACATCCAATCAGGGTCCCAAACTGAACTTGTGTAGGGAAACGGTGATCAACTACCCTGAGATTGTGAATCCTGGGAATATCCAAAGGAGGGGAACGTAAACAGGAGTTGAGGTTTCCATTCAGATATATCGTTGAATAAGATGTCTGGATCCAATGGTAATTGGGAATTGGGACCTGTAACCAAGAAGAGTCCTTACATGCTGTAGTGAGAAAGTGAAATAATCCGATTACTCGTTTGTATGATCCTGGTCCATGCCTGACCCGTCAAAATTCATGTAGGAGCTCCTAGTCTGCACGGCACCTACAAGATAGAGTATAATATAGTGAGACCCTAGGTCCCTGTACCCTTGACTGTCCGGGCACGTATCTCCAAGAGGTCAAGGGCCCCAGGAATGTGAATTTGAGAACCGAAGTCAAGGCATCTCTGTAGAGGAATACCTCCTTCTTAGCCTGGAGTCCCATGAACTCATAGCGTTCTCTAATACGCAGGCAAGACCTAAAGTCCCCTCACTCACGACAGGTGACTCCAGGGATCAGATTTTAACGAAAAAATAAGGATCTAGCTTCAATCGTCCAAAGCAGGTGTTATCCAGTTTGAGAACGTCTGAGCCTGCTACACATCCTGAGCAGTGCGTCCCGACTAGTGACGTCCGTGTAGAAGCCGGGGATATACAGGGTTCCTCTATAGAGCCCAAGTAGGTCTCCTTGATAGTAGTTGAATAGGTGGGTTAGCGAGAACCCAAAAACCAAGACGGTTCCCGTGAGGGATTTAGAGTACAGATGGAGGGATCCCCAAATCCGAATCATGTTCTCCCGATATATTCTCAGAGGAATAGAGGCAGTCCCAAGATTGTTAATGACCAGGGAAACCAAGTCGACCGAGGATTCCGGTCTTTCCATGCGATCCCTGTGTACGGTGCACCTGCTAGTCTTGTTACCCGAGCACGGCAGTGCACGTTTGCTCTATGAAGGCCTCAGGATCTCATGTAGCCTTGACATGGGAAAACTGTCTGCATAACCTAAACAATATTAGATAAATGAACATAAACAGTGATAGCCTGAAGTATAGGTAACTAAGAAAATCCCACAAGATTATTATTACAATACTGCATATAGGAATACAATCCCACAAAGATTATTATTACAATACTGCCAATATAATCCCACAAAGATTATTATTACAATACTGCATATAGGAATAAAATCCCACAATGATTATTATTACAATACTGCATATAGGAATAAAATCCCACATGGTTAAAATAAAATAGTGAAAATATAGACTAAATCCCACAAGGTTACAATATACAATACAGCCTATATATAGCAATAAAATCTCACAAGGACAATATAAAATACTGAGGATAGAGGATAGAAGCAATAAAACCCAAAGCCACCAACAAGAGCAGGAGGCAGTGGTACTCTGACCTGTACTGATGCGGAGCAGCAAAGAAAGAGGAAATGAGGCATGGGGAGGGGAGTTTTATAGTACCTATTTTTTTTCTGATTGGTTGTTTTTTCTGTGCTGCTGTGGAGTTCTAGTAAAGAGAGACTTAAGCAAATACGAAGCCTCCTGTCATAAAATTGTAAGCAGTCCCTGCTCAGCTTCCCGCAGGCTACCGGCATCACTGCTGCGCGCAGAGGGAGCTGAGCAGAAAGAGTTTAAAATCAATGTCCGCCCCCCTGCCTACCTGAATGTACACCTGACCAGCAGCCCCACTAGACATGAGGTAAAAAATTCACCCAGCTCTCCCTAAGGTAGGGAGGCTGGGTGGATTTGAATTAAAATAATTAATTTTATTTTTTTAACGTGTTGGGGGGAAATGTGTGTTTGTGTTTATTGGTGTATGGCTGTTTGTGCGTGTGTGTGTATGGCTGTTTGTGTGTATGGCTGTCTGTGTGTGTATGGCTGTGTGTGTGTGTATGGCTGTGTGCATGGCTGTCAGTGTGTCTGCATGACTGTGTGTGTGTGTGTGTGTGTGTGTGTATGGATGGCTGTCTGTGTGGGTGTTTGGCTGTCTGTGTGTGTGTGTGTGTGTATGTGTATTGCCGTATGTGTATGTGTGTATATAGCTGTGTGTGTGCATTGCTGTGTGTGTGTGTGTGTATGGCTGGCTGGCTGTGTGTGTGTATTGCTGTCTGTGTATGTATTGCTGTTTGTGTGTGTGTATTGCTGTCTGTGTGTGTGTGTATATGGCTGTCTCTGTGTGTATATTGCTGTCTGTGTGCACGGCTGTGTGTGTGTGTGTGTATGGCTGTGTGTGTGTATGCATGGCTGTGTGTGTGCATGGCTGTCTCTGTGTGTGTATTGCTGTCTGTGTGTGTGTGGCTGTCTCTGTGTATGGCTGTCTGTGTGCATGGCTGTCTGTGTGTATGTGTGTGTGTGTATGGCTGTATGTGTGTATATTGCTGTCTGTGTGTATAGATGTGTGTGTTTGTGTGTGTGTATGACTGTCTGTGTGCATGGCTGCCTATATGTGTTTGTATGTGTGTATATGGCTGTCTGTGTGTATGGATGCCTGTGTGTATGACTGTCAGTGAGTCTGTGTGTTTGTATATCAGTGTGTGTCTGTGAGGGAGCCTGTTTGTTAGTCAGTGTGTGTCTGTCAGTGCATGTGTGTTGGAGTGATTCTGTATGTATGTCAGGGGCAGGGTCTTTAGCTCTGCACTACGAGCTAGGCAATAATATTTAATTGTGGGATTCCTGCGGGAACTAAGAGGCTATTCTCGGGATGTCGCAATCCAAAACCCGTCGGCACCAAGATAAGCCCGACAAACTGAACTTTTTCGACCAGAAAAAGGTAGCGGCCCTGGCAAGGCAAACTGCAACCACGGACCCTCAAGATGGCGCCGAACTCTCTGGGGGAAGTAGCACGAGGTCAACACGAGACGGTGAACCGCTCACGACTGCTCTTCTAAAACAAGCTCTGGACTAGCGATTTCAACGGCTGATCTCCATCTGGCAATCTAGTGTCCAGAATTGAAATGAGACCTGCAAGACATCGGGTCCCACACGACACACGTGGAGGCCAAAATGGAGGACCTGGTCGATGCGCACAATGCGTCCACGGAGCAGATCAAATCCCTCACCGCCCAACTACAACAATGTGAGGCAAAGCTCATGGACTTCGAAGACAGATCCAGGAGAAGTAACAGGCTAAGGGGTATACTGGAGACTGTTCTCCCGGCGGACCTCCCCAGCCACGTACACAGCTTTTTTAAACTCCTGATTCCCGAGATCCCAACGGTCATGCTGTTACTAGATCGCCTGCACAGGGTTCCGAAACCCCAACAGATTGCTGCATCATTACCCAGAGATGTGCTGATAAAAGGCACATTATTTTTACGTGAAAGACCTACTAATGAAAAGAAGCAGTACCATGAAGGACCTTCCCACTGGATATTCCGGCATCAGGATGCTCTCAGATCTTTCTGCAGCCACCTTACAACAATGAAAAACCTTTGAGAAGGTGACAGAGACTTTCCGTGCCAACCGCATCCTGTACCGCTGGGGCTTCCCTATCCGTCTGATAGTCTACAGAAATGGGACCATGTTACGGTACCCTCAGCATGAAATGTACAAACCGCCGTTTAGTGAATGCTCCCCTCTCGCAATAGCATAGGCTGCATGCGTATCCAGTATAATCATGCGAACCGCAAGCCGGGGAACACTGTAAACTCACGAACGGGATCTGTACAGGCACTTCACTTCACGAGCTCCAAACTCATGAATCGCCAATATTAGCCGAACGTATATATCTCCCAAGCGGCTAATAATCCCATCCAGCAGTCTCTAGTCTGGATGGGATTATCCTACCCGGTGACCCAAGTACTGCACTTCTGCCATGCCTAGATGGCACTTGTCTGGCTTCAAGGTCAGGCCAGCGGCCCGAATCTTGTCCAGAACCACCCCTACGTGTACCATGTGTTCTTCCCAGGACTCACTGTAGACCGCAATGTCATCCAGGTATGCACATGCAAATTCCTGTAAGCCATCGAGGAGCCTATCCACCATACGCTGGAGCATTCTTCATCCCAAATGGCATGACCTTAAACTGGTATAGACCAAATGGGGTGACGAATGCCGACTTAGGGATAGCATCCTCGGCAAGGGGGATCTGCCAATAACCCTTACACAGGTTCCACAGAAAATATCTTGCCTGTACCTTCTCCGTGGGGCTTAACCGGTCCCCTAGCTGTACAAGACTAGTGAGGTCAGTCTGGGGATCTTTCTCTAATAGATCGGGCAAGGGTAAATTCTCGGGGTCGTCGGCAGCCCGGGCACATACTGCAGCGACATCCTCTGGTCTCTCCTGATACTCCTTCGGCATGTTCACATGAAAGGATCGCTGAATCCTCTCATCTGCACAGCTGGGTAGTATCACATACCTGAGCTAACACTTTATATGGGCCCTGCCAAGATGCTTGCATCTTGTTCGTCTTCACAGGCTTGAGCACTAGAACCTTTTGCCCAACCTGAAAGACCCGCTGTCGGGCACCCCAATCGTACCCCCTCTTCTGTCTCCCCTGGGCCGCCTGGAGATTCTCCCTTACCATCAGGGATAGTTTCTCCATGCGGTCCCGGAGTTCCAGAACGTATGGCACGGTGGGGGTTCCCTCTTGCTCTGTCTCTCCCTCCCAGTGTCCTCTAATGAGATCTAGGACACTTCTCCCATAGAGTAGCTCAAAGGGAGAGAACCCAGTAGATTCCTGGGGCACCTCTCTGTATGCAAATAGCAGATGAGGCTGGAATCGCTCCCAGTCTCTGCAAGTGTCAGTAAAAGTCCTCAACATCTGTTTGAGGGTGCCATTAAACCGCTTACAGAGACCGTGCGTGGTAAGGTGAGCTAAGCAGCGGTTTAATGCCGAACACCTTCCACAGCTGCTGGGTGAGCACAGCGGTAAACTGAGTTCCCTGGTCGGAGAGGATCTCCTGAGGGAACCCGACCCTAGTAAAAATGTTAACCAGGGCATCAGCAACTGTCCCTGCCTCTATATTAGACATTGCTACTGCCTCTGGATAACGTGTGGCATAGTCCACCACGGTGAGAATATACTTCTTGCTGGATGGGCTAGCCCTGGCCAGTGGACCTACAATGTCAACAGCTATGCGGGAAAAGGGTTCTCCAATGATAGGCATCGATATGAGCCTAGCCTTTGGGTGATCCCCCCGTTTACCTACCCGTTGACATGTGTCACACGTGCTAAAATAGACCCGCACATCTCGGTTAAAATTAGGCCAGAAGAAATTTTGGGTGATCCTATGATCTGTGCGGCGGGAGCCTAGATGGCCCGCTAATGGCACATCATGCCCAATCCACAGAATCTCCTGCCGGTATTTCGCAGGCACCTCCAGCTACAGATTCTGCAGAGGGGTACTCGGTCTCTGGGACGGTTTAGGGATCCTGTACAGCCTATCCCCCACCCACTCGTAACGCTCCACATCAACCCCCTCTCCCCATGTATCTGCCCAGGCCCTATACTTCTCCAGAGTTGTGTCCTCCCGGGTTTCCCTCCCGTACATCTCTGGGGTGTCCCAACCTAAAGGGGCCTGGTCTAAGGTACAAGTCGGGGTAGAGAGTCTTACCTGGGTCTCAGCAGCAGGGGGGCTGGTCTCAGCGGCACGGGTCTGGGCACGGGTCGTGACAGCGTCCACTTCAGCGGGACCCATGGGAGCGTAGGCTGAATCAAGGGGAGCCAAGTCATTACCAAGGAGGACATCCACTGGTAAGTCCTTCATGACCCCCACATTCACATGTCTAGCACCCACTCCCCAATCCAAATGTACCCGGGCAACGGGTAGGCGAAACACAGCACCTCCAGCTACTCGCACCGCTGCCGTGTCTCCAGTATGTTGGGTCTCAGGCACCAAGTGCTTCTGAAGTAATGTCATGGTTGCACCGGTATCCCTCAGACCACTGACCTCCTTCCCGTTGACTTTGACAAATTGCCGGTGGTGCTGTCGGTTATCCCGGTGAGCAGCTTGGACAGGGTCTGCCTCGTGCAAGATGCCCCAGCATTCCTCTTCCTCTACGCAGTGGGCAGCCGGGGGAGGGGGTCATTGATTTCCGCTGGCTGGTCTCCTCCAAGACTGGGCCTGGTTAGCACTGTTCAGCGGGCACTCCGGTCGCTTGTGCCCTAGCTGCTTGCACCCAAAACATCTGATAGGTTGGGAGTAGTCCCGTGAGTTGAACCGGGGCGGCTGATGATAATTATTAGAGGGAGCGGGTGCTGACGGCCTGTTCGCCGGTGGTTGGTAGACGGTAGCTGCTGGGGGTGCTGCTGATTTGGCCGTACTCCACTCTGGCAGGAGTCTTACCAATAGCACTGTCCAGTTTACGGGCATCTGTGTACTCGTCCGCCAGGCGAGCTGCTTCATGCAGAGTGGAGGGTTTACGGTCCCTTACCCACTCTCTGACACCTGGGGATAATTTTTCAAAACAGTGCTCCAACAGGAACATTTGCAGAACCTCTTCCCCGGATACAGCTTGGCACCCCGCCATCCAGTGGGCAGCTGTGCAGTGTACTTTGCATGCCCATTCCACATAAGAGTCTCCGGCAGATTTAACAGTGTCTCTGAACCGCCTTCTGTATGCCTCCGGTGTAATGGCATACCTGGAGAGCAAAGCTTCCTTGACGGCCCCATAATCCCCAATCTCCTTATAAGGAATGGCCCGGAAAGCATCACTGGCCCGGCCGGATAACTTGCCGGACAATATAGTAACCCAGTCTTCCAGGCGTACCTTGTGTAGGGCACATTGCCGCTCAAAATCAGCCAGGTACCCATCAATCTCTCCTTCTGTCTCACTAAAGGATTTAAATGCTGCAAACTGTACCTTCTTTCTTTCCACCGGGACTGCTGGAACTGGGACTGCTGCACCACCTCTTTGGCGTAGCAGGTTGGCCTCCACAGCGTCCATGACCCGGCTGATGATCTCTGCAGATGAGTTGGGACCATAATGGGCCAGCCTGATTCTTACCGCCCGGTCAAAGCTTGCCTCCTCGGGGGTTCTGTCAGCTGCGCTGGGCCCATTGGTTCCTTCCGCCTCTGGTACTCCATCCATTTCGTTCAAAATGGCAATAATCTCCCTTTTCCTGAGATTACTGGCTTGTCCGCGTCTTTGCTTCAATAAATCCTTCAGGGTAGCTCTTTTCAGCCTTTGGTATTGTATTTCCATTTAATCCTGGTTGTAGTGGTCTCTCTGGGCGATGAGGGTCATCCCGTCGCTTGCCACCAGTTGTTACGGTACCCTCAGCATGAAATGTACAAACCGCCGTTTAGTGAATGCTCCCCTCTCGCAATAGCATAGGCGGCATGCGTATCTAGTATAATCATGCGAACCGCAAGCCGGGGAACACTGTAAACTCACGAACGGGATCTGTACGGGCACTTCACTCCACGAGCTCCAAACTCACGAATCGCCAATATTAGCCGAACGCATATATCTCCCAAGCGGCTAATAATCCCATCCAGTAGTCTCTAGTCGTCGGTAATAAATCCCCCCAATAACGAGCTTAAGCAGGTCTTATGCAGGTCTCCCACTTGGTGGACACTCCCCTAGGGGACCAAATGGGAGACTGTGACAATAGACAGACATATGGCAAGTCAGGACCCACAGACACAGAACATTCCCACAATGCATTAGCATTCCCTCCCCTCTGCCCTGGAGATAATTGAGAAGAAATTCAATTATCTCCAGGACAGAGGCAAATCACCATTTTAAATTCAACACAGCAAAACATATGAAAATCTATAACTTTACTTTTGTCGAATGCTACACATTCGTATCACGTATCCCCAGATAGCCTGGATCTGAGTGCATATTGTGATGAGAGCAATCTCGCCACATTGCATTGGAGAAGCCTGGTTGCTCGCCTGCTGCCTTTGGACTATGGCCCCATGTTAAACAACATCTTTTTCCCTGCAGAAAAGACTTATTCGTGCTTTTCTGCCTGATGTTCGGTAGATTCAATCTACCGAACAACCGCACAAATGACTAGACCACCTAGGAGCTGGAGTGTGCCGGCAATTAGCCTCCCTGAAGCTGCGGTTAACCGCAGCTTAATTGACGAATGCTGGGTGGCTGCCATTCGTATCACGAACATGAGGTTGCGGCCATTTTAAACCCACGAACGCACAGCGGTGTTCGACGCTCAATTCATGGAACTAAAATCGGACACAGTTTTGCGCGAACACCGCTGAAGCCGCCGACCTCCCTTCTTGTTCGGTCAAAGTGTACGAACAGCCCGGTGTTCGGTAGTTTTACTTGAATATGTTATACCCCAGATAGGAATCCCATGGAGCCCATTCACATGAGAACTGACTGTGTAAAGACTTTGGCTCCATGCCAATTACACTGTATTCGTGTGGTCTGAGCGCCATTTGCTTAATAATGTGCTCTCAGACCTGAGCTATCTGGGAATATGTTAAATGTATAGTTTTAATGTAACATTAAAAAACATGGTGTATTTTAACAGTAATTCATGTTTTAGTATCCCCACGTGCATAATGGCGATTTGCCTTTGTCTTGGGAGATAATTGAATTACTTCTCAATTATCTCCAAGTCAGAGGGGAGGAAGCCAGGATGAATTGTGGGAATATAATGTGACTGTGTGTCCTATTTGTCTACTTGTCTGTCTTTTGTCACAGTCTCCCATTTGGTCCCCTAGGGGAGTGTCCACCAGGTGGGAGACATGCATAAATACTGGGCAGGTAGCCCTCATTAAACTGATCACTGCTTGACCCTCAACACGGAGCTTTGTCTCGTTCTTGGGGGGATTTATGTAGGCTGCTCCAGTTTGACTGGAAGGAGTGTAAACCTATTTGTATGGTTTTTCATATTCGGCTGTTTACAGCATTCATATGGTTTCCTGTTCGGCGGATTGGTGTTCTGCAGTAGCTGTGCCTGTGTCTCTGGAAGGGAAGATCTACTAAACGTCGGTTTAACCCTTTTATGCCTGGGGGTGCCGTTACAATTGGTGGCAAGCGGCGGGATCGTTCCTACAGCCAGAAGGACAGCTACAGGGGACACCATTCTGTGGATTTTACAATTTGAGGGCAACACATGTCCCAGTACAGCGACCCTGACAGCACCAGGATGGAACCAGCAGTGGAGTATGATGAGGGTGTCATGGATGACCGCGATGCAGTTCGCAAAGGCATCTGGTACCAGGCACTGGGTATTGTGGAGTACCAGCAGGACGAGAGATTCCCCAAGGAAGACCAGCAGTTACAGAAGCGAGTAGCCCTGCGGATGCCCTTCCTGGGAGAGCAGCCCCTGGAGGTATGGGTGAAGAAATTGAAACACCTAGTATGGCAAGAGATGTGGCTGGAAAATGCCTACCAGGCGCTCTGGTGGTATGGGGCACAGTACCTGTCCTGGACAGCTTAGCACAACAAGCCAGAGGGAGAGGAGTTTGATGGTCCTGGCTTGTTATGGGAGGCTTTTTCGGAGCCTGAATTCCTACACAAGCCCAGTTCAGTGATCTCTTGGAGTGGAGGGAGAGCAGGTATGACTGGGACGACACTCAGGAGATTGAGCAAGACCTGGTCCACCTAGTGACCCGAGAGATGGAGCTGGAGCAGGGCTACCAAGATCTGTTCTACTCCAGTGAGAAGGCGCAGCAGGGAAGTGGAGACTCAGATCCAGACCCATTCAGCTGAGGAGATATTGCAGAAAATCACTGGGAAGAACCCCAGGTGGCTGGTGGAGATGGGATCGAGGTCTCTCCACCGGTCCTGCAGGGAATTGGGAGCCCAAGCTCCATTCCCCAGCGGGAGATATTGCAGGGAATTGGGAGCCCAAGCTCTCCCCAGTGGGAGATATTGCAGGGAATTGGGAGCCCAGTCTCCATTCCCCAGCAGGAGATATTGCAGGGAATTGGGAGCCCAGTCTCCATTCCCCAGCGGCAGTGTGATATGCAGGGAATTGGGAGCCCAGTCTCCATTCCCCAGTGGCAGAGTGATATGCAGGGAATTGGGAGCCCAGTCTTCATTCCCCAGTGGCAGGCTGAGTTATAGGGGGCAGAGACAGGTGGTCCTGTCCCCCAGCGGCAGTGTTCCTTGCAGAGAGAGGAGAGCAGCGTCCTCCCTCCCCAGTGGCAGGGTGAGCTACAGGGATGCTGGGCAGTCGGCTCAGATCCCCAGCGGCAGTGTGATATGCAGGGAATTGAGAGCCTAGTCTCCATTCCCCAGCGGGAGATATTGCAGGGAATTGGGAGCCCAGTCTCCATTCCCCAGCGGGAGATATTACAGGGAATTGGGAGCCCAGGCACTGGGAATTGGGAGCCCAGGCACTAGTCCCTCTGTCCCAATTTATATCTGGGTAATTAAAATCTCCAATAATTAAAGTGTTACCCAGATTTGCAGCTTTCTCAATTTGCTCAAACAGCTGTTGTTCCTCGTCAATATTAACATTAGGTGGTTTATAACATATCCCAACCAATAGTTGGTTTCCCTTCTTTTCCCCCAAGCAGATATTTACCCATAAAGCTTCCACATTATCCTCCTCGCATTCCATTTGCTTAACATTTGGCTTTAAATCATGTTTGACATACAAACATACCCCACCACCCTTCTTGTTTTTCCTATCCTTCCTAAATAACATGTACCCATTTAAGTTAGCTGCCCAGTCATGTGTCTCATCCCACCATGTTTCAGTTATGCCTATTATATCATATTGTTTAGTGTATGCTAATGCCTCTAGTTCCCCCATTTTGTTATTTAGGCTCCTTGCATTAGTAAGCATACATTTAATATTATGCGTCACTTGTATATTTTGTGAATTTTCACCATTACACAGCTTCTCTGTTCTGAGCTTGCCCCTCCCCCCGTTTCCACCCCCCTTATATTGTGCTAAAGCCCATCTCCTTTCTGTCCTATCTCCATTTTGTAGATTGCTATGAACCTCCCCCCCACTACTAGTTTAAAATCTCCTCCAACCTTCTAGCCATCCTATCCCCCAGCACTACAGACCCTCTCCCGTTTAGGTGCAATCCATCACCACTATAAAGGTTGTACCCAATCGCAAAGTCGGCCTAGTGCTCTAAAAACCCCAAACCCTCCTTCCTGCACCAAGACTTAAGCCACGCATTGACCTCTCTAATCTCCTGCTGCCTTTCCACTGTAGCGCATGGCACAGGTAATATCTCAGAGAATACCACCTTGGAGGTCCTTTTCTTAAGTTTGCTACCTAATTCCCTGAAATCATTCTTTAGGACCTTCCATCTTCCTCTTACTTTGTCATTGGTACCAATATGGACCATGACCGCTGGGTCATCCCCAGCCCCTCCCAATAATCCATCCACTCTGTCAGCAACATGCCGGACTCGAGCACCCGGGAGACAGCAAACTGTCCGTTTGAGCCAATCAGAGCGGCAGATTGCCCTATCTGCTCTCCTAATGATAGAGTCCCCTACCACCACAACCTGTCTTGCCTTCCTTAAATTTTGATCCCCACCCATACTAGGGGGGCTGTTAGCTCGGCTGTTAGAAGTAACAGCTTCCTCTAATACAGCTACTCCTGAGCTGATGCTCCCAACATCTTCCCTCAAACGGGCAAATCTGCTAGGTTGCACCAAATCAGGACTAGCTAGCCCTTTCCTCTTCCCTCCCCCCCTGCTTCCTCGCCCCACTGTCACCCAGCTACATGCCTGTTCCCCATCTGTCTTATCTCCTCCCTCTCCACTACCTGTCCCCACTAAACTCTGCTCAGTGAGCAGTAGACTCCTCTCAAGATTGTCAATCTCCCTCAAAGTTGGGATTTGCTTCTCGAGATCTCCAATCTGAGCTTCCAGAGAAGCCACTCGCACACAACCATCACAGAGGTATGGACCCTGGACGGGTACATCCAGGCATCCATACATGCAACAAGATATGCATTGAGTCAAACCAGCAATCTTGCTAACACTCATTTCCCCTTGAAATAGAGAAAAAAAACAACAATTACATTGTTAGTTTTTACCCCTTGTTTGTTTCAACTCCTGGTTTTCTAACTCCTACTTGAAAGAGTCTACTTAATAGAGGCTGCTTTCAAATAATGTGAGCAAGCTCAGTGAGTTAGGGGTGTGCCTTTATGGGGATACAAATACCTATTTAGGACACTCACCTTGACAGTGCCATCTGCTTACTTCCTGTCCCTCCAAAAGCAAATGGCAGGGAAAAAAGACAGAGAGTAGCCCTATCCACATTGTACCAACCCGTACGGATCGGCGGTATGAGCCTCCCTAATGTGCAGCTATACCACAAGGCAGCGGTTTTGGCCAGCCTCTTCTCCATTAACCAAAATACGTCCCCTCCCCAGTGGGTCTCCATAGAACAACACTGGTTTCAAAACCAAGACATTAAAACAGGTATATGGTTGCCACACCACCAAAGGGGAGACACCTCGACCGCACTTCCTGCCACTTTAACAACACTAAAAATTTGGGACGCCACCCGCAAACTCCTGTGCAGCTGCTACCCGATTCCTTTCTCGACCCCCATTAAAGCTCTGGCGCAAATGATACCTGACTTTAATTATAGGGTATGGAATAGATGCAGGGTGTTCTACATACATTCTCTACTGGACAAGGGCAAACTAGCCACATTTGACCAATTGAAAATTAGCCACATACTACCAAACACTGCACACCACTCATACCTACAGCTGACTTCATGGTGGAAAACCCATGTACCACACCCCATACCGCCCACTACTATTGCCCTAACGCCCTTTGAAAAGATTATAATGGCAGACGCGCGGGCGAAAAAGCCCATCTCCACCAAATACACGTTATTAATGCCCCAAAAGGGAATTAAATCCCTTACTTGTGTACGCTCCTGGGAAAAGGACCTGAATGAAACACTGCCAGAACAGACCTGGCTGACCTCATTTAGATATGTAAATGGACAAAATAGGGATACAGCTGAATGGCTAAAAAATATAAGAATACATAGTACATAGTGAAGTACCGTCACAATAATAAAATATAAACTTCAATGATTGCACTCACAAAATAGTGATGGATAATGCGCCTTTAAGCCCTCAAGGGCTGCAGTGGTATTCACCCTCCACGAATAGGTTGCTCTGTCTTCAAAGAAGTGGGAGTATGCCAGTGAAGTATAAAAATTTTTTTTTTTTTATTATTATTAAAAGGCACTAATAAGCCTATATCAAAAAATCAATAGTTAAAAGTATACAAATAATACTGCATCTTGACCTCATTTAGAGTTCATTCGCAAAATCTTTTACCGCTGGTACATGGTCCCAACACGTCTAGCCACTATGAACCCGAAGATGTCCAGCATTTGCTGGCGCTGCAAAATGGAGACGGCACGTTCCTGCACACTTGGTGGAAATGCTCGAAACCGTACTGGAAAGCGGTTATTTCTTTAATACACCAACACACTTCAATCATGATACCGAACTCCCTGACCTCTCTGCTCCTACTCATGTTCGAAGCCAACTACCCCAAGCCGATTAAATACCTAATACTCCATACACTTGTAGCGGCCCAAAACTTTATAGCAAAAAACTGGCTATCACCCAGCAATGCAACAATGCAAGAGCTGATTTGACATCACTCCCAAATTGGGAAATACGAATCAAATCTATCCCAGGTACCGCCCAATAAAAGTTGGAGACACGAAGTATAGGAAAGCTGGGAAGCTGAAAAACCTGACTTGAGGGTGAAACAAGTACCTCACTAATCATAAAACTAAATACAGGAGACCGTACCAATATTAGCCGAACACTATGGGGCTTGCCCACAGAAGAGAAGTACTCACCAAATCGTGTGCCTAGGGCATAACATTTATACCAAAAGCCTTATAACCTCCTTGCAAAGAGCTGGCTGGATGCAAAGTTTCCCCCCCTCCTCATCTCCCCATGTTGTCCCCGCCCCTCCCAACTACATGCCCTTGCCTTCCAGTACCTAAATCAGAGGACCCCATCCTACCACGATCTTCACACAATACAAAGACACAGAGAGGTAACGACTCGTAACATAAACTATATGTGAAAAGTAATGTGCTCCTCCCATGTGTATAAAACTACTGAACAACAATAAACTTAACGGAGGATGTGTGTTCCATTTCTGTGAAGATACACTGTTTTACCCCTCCCCCTTTTTTCTTTCTGTACCCCCTAAACTGCATTTTATGACAAAATAAATTGTCAAATTGAAAAAAAAACAACAACCCCCCCCCCAAAAAAAAATGTATACACTTACCCCTCAAAGTGTTCGGGGGTTGTACATAACAAAATTATAAACACGAGAGATATATTGTATGATATACAACAAGGTTACATTAGTATCTTACAAGTAATTTAAGTAAGTCATTAGAATGTTTGTTTATTGAAGAAATAAACCTTGTTTGTATTTTATCCCTTATTTTTTATGAGTAACAATATAGTAGATAAAACCCTGCAAAGAACGCCAATTATCACACAAACGTAACCAATAACCCAAAGGATTATGTGTTTGGTATTTTAAAGAACTGGAAATACGGACAGACTAGCCGTAAAGGCAATGCATCTCGGGAACTGTAGTTCCAGAAGAAAACCGGAAGAGACACAACACTACTAGTGGGCACCAAAAAGAATGCCGAAATTGAAGATTATGCTAGCTTTAGTGTACTAATAATCTTAATTTGAATAATGACAGGAGGTGAATATTTTACATAATCTTCCTTTACTACTCCATAGCATCAAAGACATATAGAGAAAAAAAGGAACCAATCAGAGGCAGGCAGAGAGTATAAGATATGCCTTCAACTGAGTCACTTCCTCTTGATAACGGCGACATCACAAGTCACACGATCAACTGAAGAACCATACGGAATAACCAGGAACGATGAAGAACGGTTGGATATATCCAAAACTGGGAACAGTTGTACGCTTGATGTAGAAGATCTCTTTGTGTCTTTTAAGCTGAAAGAGATTGAGAGCGTTTTAGTGATATGAAATGTAAACCTGAACAATATGAGTAACCCTCACAATTTTATCACGACAGAAAGCTTCATATTTTCATTTTTAAAGCTAAGGTAATAGAGAGAAAGTGGCAATGGAGGTCGGGCGAGAGTAAAACGTCCGAAAGGTGGGTTCTCGTCACCAGTCTGCTGAGAGCAATATATCTGATAAGGAGGCCCCCGCTGTGAAGGTGGAAGATGCCGCCACACCGCGAACCGAGTGTGCGCTGAAGGAAGGGTCAACCCTGGCAAGAGATAAAAGCCATCGTACTCAGCGGGTCAAGGTGGTAACCGAGATTTGCCCATGTTGCTTAACGTGGGACACCAATAATTGTCGGGCCATGGCTGTAGCCGTATGTAGGCGTGCAGTGTCTGGACCACGTAAAGTTGGTTTCTGATGGAAAAATGGGTAAAACCAATCTTGAGTCCGTCTTGTACGTCGAGACACCCGAAGAGTGACACCTTCAGGAGAAAATGAGAAGGCGTCCATGTGGATTGCTCGAATGTCCGAAATCCAACCAACTGACCAGTGAATTCCAAGCGGAGAGGTTCCTCCGCTTGGAATTCATGGGTATATATCTAGCCATTAAACAAAAAGAAGGTGAGGAGTAAGGATCCCTTAAACATGGGAGACAGAACAACTCACAGCTAGTACCCCTTGTGGAGCAATAAACAGTGCACTCAACTCCTGTGTATTAAACAGATTAAACAAAAAATAATAAAGTTTTAATGTAGTCCAAAAAATAATAAAAGTCTGTAATACACTCAACTGTTACAAATGGATAAAAAAGAGGACCTGGAGAGTCACTCTGGGCTGCACATAACTATATACTGTGCCTGGATACTACGTTGCCACAAAAGTAGCAACAGTGTAAAAGTAGCAAAAAAGCTACTCGTAATAGGCACCAGTGCAATAATGTGCATAGATAATTGTGCTAGCAAAACAGGTGAGATCTACACTTACGGTCCTAGAAAAACACACAAACAAAAATCTCCACTATTGTATATCAGGGTTAGGAGTATAAAGTATAATATAGCGTCCTAATGTGGGGTATAAATATGACTATTGGCCTCAGCCAGTCTAATGACAAGTGGTTAAATCGAAAGGACAGAGAGATATAGAGTTAGGAGATCGAAAAATAAAGGTGGGAAGGTAGTAAAAGTATAATTCAGTATAGGGCAAATCGCCCAAATCTGGCCCCCCACAGTTGTAGCAGAAGCCCAACGCGCGTTTCGGCGGTAAAATCCGCCTTTCTCAAGGGTAGAGTAGTGTGCAAGTTCCTCTCCTCCGTCCCCTCCCTTAAATACACTCACATTTGGCGCCAAGCTATAGACCGCCCATCGCCGATGGGCTGTACCTCAGTTTTGCAACGCCCTTTGAGTGACTCATTCGTGGGAAAACCCTCAATTACGTAGGTAGAACCGGGTACTACTGCGCATGCGTCAGATGCCGGCACTCGGTCCGTGCTGTGCGCATGCGTACGCAGTCTGCCGGTATCGGAGGGGTATATTACAAAG